TCTTAAAGACCAGAGGTCAGAAGCCACCTTCCCCACAAGCCCCACGCAGTGCCAGGCAACCCGAGGATCAAAGATGAAAAGCAATGACCTCAAAGAAGCATAGTGTTTGATGAAACCACCAACTTTCTGTATTCAAAGCACAGCTTTCTCTCTTCTGTTAGACTATATTTTGCAAATTGTCCCTTCTGTTTCCTAGAAATAGGTACTACTCATTCTGGAGAGTGTTTCTGAGTATCTTTACAGATAGTCCATTACTAGTGATATGAACTCACTACCTCCTTTAATGTCATTTAGAACATCAAAATAAATGAGATGTGGTGCCTCTCTACATTCATATAATGTATAAGTACAAATGCCCCCAAATAAAAGATCTTACCTTTTATTTCTGACCTCCGTGGTGCTTGGAAGAATGTTGATTGTAAAAGGTAAGCTTAATAAAAAACAGTGATTGAGAAAAGAATTGTTGAGAGAGAGAGAGAGAGAGAGAGAGAGAGAGAGAGAGAGAGAGWGAGTGTGTGTGTGTGTGTGTGGTGTGTTAGAGTTCCAGGGATTCTCACTGCACATTACTGGACTTACTATAAGTAAGGCAAAACCCTTGGAAAGGAAACACTCCACCTCTGAGGGTACTGCACCTGACATGCTGCTCCTCAGGAGTAGATAGATGTTGCAGAGATGGACGTCAGTGAGGCAAAGTAGAGGCTCAGGTGCAGGGGCTCGGGGACTGCACTTTTAGGGACTAAAAGTGGAAGACAAAGCAAGAGAAATGTTGATATGGAAATCTTAGTGGAAAATGAATTTTCCTATTATGGATCAGAATGGCAGAAACCTGCAAGATCCAAAGAACATCTGGAAACAGAAAGTGGTTGGCTTTGTGGGGAAAAGTGTTCAGGAATGGCTTGGAAATTCTAAAGCTAATTCTCCCKATAAGGGATGGAGAGGAGCCACCTGAACAGGTCAACAAGTAAGGAAACTGGCTGTACCTTGGGCATTTAAAAAAAAAAAACCAAAGCTTTGCCTTGAGACAATGGCTGTCAAAAACCTAATACTGAGAGGAGGAGGAGGGAAAAAAAAAACTTGTTTTAATATGAGTTGGCGGTGGCCTTCAGGCTGTTATTTTGAGAGGATGTGATGTAATTTCTGTGTTGCTCGTTCTGAAGCACACCTAGAACAACTAAACGATTAAGCCGGCAGGCTTTCTGACACCGGAGTAGATGTTTCTGACGTCCCTGACAAAGTAAAGAAAAACAAAAGTACCTCTTTAGGATGAAGGTAAATATAAGCTTATCATTAAACACGGACACTTCTGAGAATGAAAGAGGACAATATTAATAATTACCCTGGGACTACAGGCATCAAGTAGCTCAGTCCCTGTCAAACAGAGCATGAAGTATGGCAAATTTATCAAGCACTATGAGAACCAAAGAACAGATGGCAGTTCTCACTTAATAAGGCCAACCATGTGGTACAAAGTCCAGGTAGACAGTAGGCATGTGGAGGCTGAGAAACAACCTGGGGGAAAATGTGTGAAGAGGAAGCTGGGGTGGGATAGATTCAGTAGGAACAAATATGGAAAGGAGGTGAGGATTAGAGCTGGAAGTACATCCAGGTTGAGCATCTCTAACCCCAAAAGCCAAAATCTGAAATGCTCCAGGATCTGAAACTTTTTGAGCACTGACCTGACACCATAGGTGGTAAATTCTACAAATAGAACTTTGTTTCGTGTACAGTTATTAAAACTATTGCACACAATTATCTTCAGGCTAGGCTTATAAGGTACACATGAAATTTAAGTGAATTTCAGGTTTAGACTTGGGTCCCCTTCCTAAGAGCTCATATGGACATACAAATATAACAAAAGCTGAAAAAAAAAATCCCAAATCTGAAACACTTCTGGTCCCCAGCAATTCAGATAAGGGATACTCAACCTATAATATGCCATACTGAGTCCCACACAAGATGGGTTCCAGACCGCCGCCTCTCCAACTCACTTTGCATCATTTCTATGCTCAAATCTATCTTCTCACCACAGCAGATATCAGTTTGCTGCTTCACCTCATCTGGGGTCCCTCTCTCTCTCTCTCTTTTGTGATGCTGGTGCTTRGTCTCAGGACATGCTAGGCTAGTGCCCTACCACTGAGCCACATCCGCAGCCCTGGGCTCTTTCTTTGATGTGGTTCTTTGCAGTTTCCTCAGCTCAGAGCACTCTACTAGCCACCCCCACCCCACCGGGTTTTGTGTCCTTACCTCCCACAACTCATCACCTCCACTTTCTGTCTCTTCACCAGACCCCCACTTTGCCTTGGATCTTCCCTCCTCAGGTTCTTCCTATTTATATTTTATTTGTTGGATACCTATCTTTTCCTAATTTGTTCAATGCTCTATTTCCATTCAGGCCAGGCTTATAATTCATTCTCAAAAATATTTATTGACTGAATAGATGACGTAAAAGTAAAGCAAGATTCCTGCTCACCCCACTCCCCCCCGCCCCCYAAAAAAAACAGTTTAAGAAAAATTCCAGGTAATAAACTGCCTAAGCCTGAAAAAAATTAAAAGACAAACATGAAGCTCATTATTAGGGTTTTTTTTTTTTCCTGAATGAACATCTTAAGTACAATTGCTGACAGCAACCCTGAGCCATTCATGTTTAGAAGCAGCCCAAGACCCTTGTGGAAGCCTGAGTCAATGTGACATTGGCCTCTAGTGGATGAGATTGAGAATACAGCCGTTCCTAGTCAAAGGTCCTTGCAGCCCTAGCAATGACGGAAGGAAATGAAAAATCCCATAGTTTCCTTTATTTCTGTCTTCTACAGTGTAAACTGAGATTTTTAAAAGTTCTTTTCTTCCTTTCTCCATTTCAGGGAAAACACAGCATCAAATTCCTGCCTCAGTTCAATACTTAGCATTGGGAACATTAGTGTCTAGAAGCACTTATTCACATCACAGCTTCTCTGAGAGAAGCTAAGTGTTTAGAGTGTAAGGTTTTACAGCAAGTGTAAAGTTAAAACCATATATATATATAATACTTTTCTTCCTTGATCCCTTTTTTCCTAAGTGATATCTCACCCAATATCTATTGGGATTGTAGGGTTGGAAGCTACCAGACATTCCCGAAACAGAGAGAATTTTAAACCATCTGCTAATCAAAGGGTAAATATAATATGTATGATAGGAGAGAAAAGCTGAGACCAAAGAAGGGATGAATTTAAATTAGAAGCAGATGGCAAGGGTGTGGGGGGAAAAGGTACACTGATTCACTGCTGGTGGGATTGCAAAATGATAGAACCACTTTGGAAAGCAATATGGAGATACCTAGAAAATTTGGAATGGAACCACTATTTGACTCAGCTATTCCACTCCTAGGTCTATACCTAAAGGACTTAAAAGCAGCATGCTACAGCGATGCAGTCACCTCAATGTTTACAGCAGCTCAATTCATAATAGCTAAACTTGAAAACAGCCCAGATGCCCTTCAATAGATAAATGGATAAAGAAACTGTGGTATATATACACAATGGAATATTACTCAGCTTTAAAGAAGAATGAAATTATGACATTTATGGGTAAATGGACAGAATTGGAGAATATCATGCTAAGCAATATAAGCCAATCCCCAAAACCAAAGGCCAAATGTTTTCTCTGATAAGTGGTTGTGGATCCATAATGGGCCAGGGGGGTCAGCAGAGGAAGAATCGAGGAACTTTGGAATGAACAGAGGGGAGGGAGGGATRGGGAGGGGGAGTGTGTGTCGGGGAAGATGGTGGCATGAGATGGACATTATTACCCCTAGGTATGGGCATAACTGCACAAATGGTGTGACTCTGCATTGTGTACAACCAGAGAAATGAAAAGTTGTGCTCCATTGTGTAAAAATAATACAATAAAAATAAAAAATAGTAAAAAATAAATAAATTACAAGCATGTGCAAATTTGAGGTGCAAATACATGAACTGTTTTTTTTTTCTAAACAAATTGAATGATAATGCTCATTATTATTTGCTTTTCCCCTCTTATTAGGTAGATGACCTGCCATGGTAAAATCCTGGAATGGGCACAGTGTACATTCAGTCCTGGTGAGAAGCTTCTAGCTGCTCTTGCTCATCGAATAGCCTATCATCACTTTTCAATCTCTAGGTTTTTAAGGACACTACGGCCCACTTGCCATACTCAAATACTTAATAAACATCCTTAAATTTTTCTTTATTGGTATGCAGGCAGCTGCTGCTCAGGAAAGAAAATCTTTGCAATCAAAATAATTGCCTCAATAAAAAGGTGGCTCAAAGAGGAGAGGGGTTGACACAGAACAGAACAGAGGGGGCCTTCTTGGTGCATTCCTGACAGGCAGCAGGACAGCAAGGGTCACYCTTGAGAGCTGCTCTTCAGTCTGCCTCAGTACATTCTCCAGAGCAAGGCTGGGAAGGATGCTGAATTCTCTGATTAGAACTGTTCAAATTCAAATGTACAAACAAATCAGGCGCCAGGTAAACAAAAGATGCTTGGATACCCGCCCCTGTGGTCTCTGTTTTCCAGCCAAGGCTCCCTTTTCACTAGTGTGAATCACATGATCAACCATGGTCAAATAGCTGTTCTCAGATCAGAGTCGACTTTTGAGCACTTTACTGGACACTGTTTCCCCAAACACCTGGACTTCGTACACATGTGTCAGACAGACGGCAACCCGCTCACATTTCAATCAAGTAGAACTGTGCCAGCCGGCATCAGTATAGTCTGACGAAATGGAAGTGATAAGGCAGAAGACATCTAATAAGCCGAGGACCTCGTGTGCTGCTAGCCCTCCCTTTCCTSTTCTTTTTAATTTTTGCAAGCACTTGGGCCAGGAACTCTATCTGGCTACCAACTTTTGCTGAGAATGGACGCCCAGTTATAAAAGGGACACGTCCACGGGCAACAGGCGGTGCAACCAGGTCCTTTTGGACCAGCTTCCAAGAAAGAAGGCTTTGAGTCAAGTGACCCCCGCGGGCCCTGGTGCCCTGGATACCTACCATCTCCTTGAAGGCGCTTTCCAGAGCCCCGATGACCAGGCACTCGTGTGGGATCTTCTTCTCGGTGAAGAAGCGCGTGGGCGGGGTGCTGGGGGAGCCCGGGGCGCCCACCCCTCCGCGCAGGGAGGCGGCGCGGGTCAGGGTCCGGCTGTTGGCGGGTGTGTTCTCAGGCTCCTCTCCCAGGCAGGTCGGGGGCAGGACAGCAGAGTTCTTCAGGATCTCCACAATGTCCTGCAGCTGCTCTGTGACATGGTGCTGCAGCAGGCGCGATGCCACCACGGCGGCCCCGGACCCCGCATGTCCATCAAACAGCGACCAGTAGTGGCAGGAGACGCCCTCGGATTCCTGGTGGGGTAGGGCGACAGGGAGGAGTGAGAAGGGCAGTATAGCCTCTGCCCCAGGACCATGTTGACACTGCTAGGACTACGGGACTCTGGGTCCACTTGGTAGTCTCTCGTCTGAAGATGGTGGGATGAAAACACGGCTAAAATGCTCAGAGAAGGGTCCCCAGATTAGTCACTGCTGTGACTGCCACCCAAGAGATGAAATGTCCCGCCTAGAGAAGCCCACATTATCACATACGTGGTTACTATTTGGAAGGCAAGATYTGCTTTTCAATTCCACACACATAGGGTTTTCCATACAACTCCATACCAAGAGTGGAGGCCTCCAGGAGTCCTGCTTTAACATCTAACTTCCCATCTCCCTGTGATTTCAACCCCAGATTAGGTTTGGTCTGGAATCTTTGGAGAAAGTTTGGCCTTTTTATAGACAAGTAGACTTACCCGTTCCCCCTCCACCAATCCCCCACACTTTAGGACCCTTATACTCAGATAATTGTCCCATCCTCCTTCGTCTATATCCTGAGTTTTGATGATATGTTCTCTTCCTAGTCAGAGTCTCCTCCAGGTCCCATGAGATGCAGCCAGTTCAAATCTGCTTTCCCTGTCTCCCTTGGTTCTCCAGCAGTTGTCACTGACATCCTTCTTTTCCCTCTTCCTTGAATTTATGCACAGTTTAAATTGCATAAATTTAATCCCTCCCCCGTGATGGACCAAACCATGTTTAGGTTACACACACCTAAGATCTTGGCTCTAAGAGTAAGAGTTGAACTATGATTAAGTGAGACTAGAGAGGCCCAAAATAAACCCATGTGATAGGGTCAGCTAAACTTTGCAGGAAAGCCAAGAAAACACACTGGGGAGAGTACAGTCTCTTCAATAAATGGTGTTCAGAAAACTGGATATCGACATGCAAAGGAATGAAATTGGGCCTTTACATCATATATAAAATTAACTCAAAATGGCTTTAAAGGCATAAAGGGAAGACCTGAAATCATAAAACTCCTAGAACATAGAACAAAAAAACTCCTCAACAAAGGTCTTGGAATGATTTTTTTGAATGAAACCAAAGCAAAGAAAAAGAAAAAAAAAAAAAAAAAGAAAGCAAAACAAAAACAAGTAGTACTACAAACCTAAAAGCTTGCAGAGGTGCCAATCACCAAAATGAAAAGGGAGCTGATGGAAGGGGAGAAAACATTTGCAAACCATGTGTCTGATAACGTATGAAGAGCTTGAATAGAAATTCCTCCAAAGAAGACATACAAGTGGCCAACGCCTGTATGAAAAAGATGCTCACCACTAACCATGAGGAAACAATGAGGTGAGAATAAAGGAGACCTTTGCCAGGCATGGTGGTGCATGCCTGAAATCCCAGAAACTTAGGAACCTGAAGCAGGAGGATCCCAAGTTCGAGGCCAGCTTCACCAATTTAGAGAAGCCCTAAGCAACTTAGGGGGACTGTGTCTCAAAATAAAAAATAAAAAGGGCTGAGGATGTGACTTAGTGGTTAAGTGCTCCTGGGTTCAATCCCTGGTACAGAGAGGGAGGAAGGCGGGGGGGGGGTGGACACCCCTTCCATAGTCAGATAAAGAGAGTCTACAAGAAACCTACAGCTAACATCAGACTTTATGGTGAAATACTAAGTACTTTTCCCCTAAAATTGGGCAAAAAAACCAAAAAATGTGCTCTCACCACTTCTATTCAACTCTGTACTACATACAGGTCCTATATAAGCTTGAAGACTGTAAAGGAAAGTAAAACTGAATTTAAAAATTGAACAATTTGATTATGGTGTGCCTTGGTATAATTTTATTTGTGTTTTGTGTTCTTGGTATTTGTCATTTTTGAATCTGTAAGTTTATAGCTATTTTATCAAATTTAGAAATATTTCAGATTGCATTTCTTCCTTTCCTCTCTTTTTTTGAGGCTAGGAATTGAACTCAGTACATTGCCCATGTTGCACTAGCACTTGCAAGTGTCTACCACTGAACCCTGAGCTCTGCCCAAAGCCCCTAAGCCATTATTTCTCTCTTCTTTAAGAAATCTCATTACACACATATTAGTCTACCTAGATGTCATCCCAGGTTTAGGAAGGATGCTTTCATTTTTAAAAGTTTCATTTTGGCCAATTTCTATTGCTATGTAAAGTTTACTATTTTTTTCAACTTTTTCTGTTTTAATTTTAAAGTGAGAAAAGGATTGAACAGATTTTTTTTTCAAAGGAAGATTTGCAAATGGCCCACAGGAATATAGAAAAGTGCTCAACATCACAAATCAACAGGGAAATACAGATCACAGCTTCATGCCTGTCAGAACTGCTACTACAAAAATATTAATAAAAGATAAATGTGAGTAAGGATGCGAAGGAAAGAAAAGCTTTGGTTTTAGGAATGTAAATGGGTATAGCTATTAGGAAAACAGTATGGAGATTCCTCAGAAAATAAAAAAAAAACAACGAAACTACCATATGATCTGGGTTCATATCAAAGAAAATAAAATCAGTACCTCAAAAAGATATCTGCACTTTCAAATTCACTGTGGCATTACTTATACTAGCTAAGATATGGAAATATCCACCCATGAAGATGTCATAAGGACAYGAATGGACAAAGAAAACATGGGATCTTATTCAGCCATAAAAAGAGGGAAATTCTTTCCATTGCAACAACATGGATAACTCTGAGGATGTTATGCTAAGTGAGATATGCCAGGCACAGACAGGCAAACACTGCATGATTTTCCCTCTATGTGGACTGTAACACATCCAATTCATAGGAACAGAGAGAATCATGATTTACAGGAGCTAGGGGATGGGCGAAGGGGAGATAATGTGGTCAAAGGTTATAAACTTTCTGTGCTAAGAAGAAAAAGAATGTTATCCTTATAACACAATAATGTACACAATGCAACCACAGTTAACAATACTGGATCACATATTTCAAAATATCTATGAGCTGGTAGTTATGTGAGGTGACAGATGTCTTCATTAACTAGTGGAAATCATTACAAATCATCACACTGTACACCTTAAATACATATAATTTCAGTCACATATCTCAATACAGCTGAGGAAAAATTTATATGTGAAAAAATATGCTATAAACCAGAGGGTTAGGATATTAAATTCTAAGATTAAGTAAACATTTGAGATCTTTATTTTCAGAAAACTGATAAAGATATGGGCAAGGTGCATATAACATCCATTTCTAACTAATAGGTCTATCTGACCCACAGAAACAAATAATGAAGTCTTTTCAATTTTATTTTTTTAAGTTGAAGTCATCAAATAAAGTTCTTTTGGTTCATCTTAGAACAGTGCTAGAAAATGCTGTGTAGGGACTGGGGTTGTGGCTCAGCGGTAGAGCACTTGCCTAGCACGTACGAGGCACTGGGTTTGATTCTCAGCACCACATTAAAAATAAATAAATAAAATAAAGGTATTGTGTCCAACTACAATTAAAATTTTTTTTTTTTAAAAAGAAAATGCTGTGTGGTTAGTGCTCTTTCAAACACTGTTTTCATTTAATTCTATGCTAGGTAATGAGATGAACTCATTGTTTATTAGTTAATAAACATCTACTGAGCACTTTTTATATGATAGGCACTATAGCAGACAGTGAGATTAAAAGACTAGTTCAAGAGATATCAGACAGGGCCTGGGGCTGTAGCTCAGACGTAGCACACTTGCCTGACATGTGTGAGGCACTGGGTTTGGTTCTCAGTACCACGTACAAATAAATAAAGGTCTATCAACAACTAAAAAAATAATTAAAAAAAAAGAGATATCAGATATAACCTAGTCTTAACAATCCAGTAGAGAAGATGCTAATCAAATAATAACCAAAATAAATGGGAGATCACAAGGAGAGGTGCCATGAGACCAGCCTATATTGATGGGTACACTGGAGATGAGGTCATAAGGACATGAGGATCAGGCTGAGGGCTGCATGGCAGTTCACAAGATGAGGAGAAGAATGGAGAGACTGCCAGACAAGAGCAATAGCAGGCACAAAGGCTCTGTGGTGGGAAGGTGCATGAAGAGTTAAAAGGAGACTAAACCATGGCTCCTTGGCTCAATGTGGGGAGTAGACAGGAAAAGGGGGAGGAGGAGGAGGAGGAGGAGGCTGGAGAAAGAAGTAGTAGTTAGACTACTCAGTCCTTACAAAATGCATGAGGGGTCTTGGCCTTTAGTCCAAGAGTAATAAAAAGCCATGAATTGAGTGAGAATGACAAAATTGATTTGTTTTAAAAAAGACCACTCAATCCATACTGTGAGGATTAAGAGAGAAGAATAAAAGTGAAAGTAAAAGGAGATAAATCTTATTCTAAAAGAAAAAAAAAATGAACCAAATTCAGGCAGGAAAAAAACACACAAGAATAATAAAATCACCCTAAAGCAGGCGTCCAAACTCAGAGGCAAGCGAAGTGGAAAGAACAAGGACTTCACTATTAGGAGGTTTGGATTTGAAGCACATCTTTCACACCAATCAGCCGAGAGGTTGGCAGTGCCAGGCTAGGGCGGCAGCAGGGGCTGGACCCTGGCTGGGTGGGGTACCAGCTGCTGCCCCTGTTGCTTAACAAGTCTCTGCCATGATTTCCGAACATGCAAAATGCAGGTGCTGGTTACCTGATGGGGAGTGTATGGGAGGGCTAAAAGGCAATTTATGTCAAGTGACTGGCTAAGCAGCATGTGGGGAGCAGTGTGCAGGTGTGGCTGTGACCACTGCCATCAGGACAAGGTCTGTGTAAGTGGTTCTCTGGACTTCAGCCGCCCAAAGGACTCCCGTGCCTCTGCTGATTCCAAGTTTTCTCCACTGAAGAAGTTGGGGAAGAACTTGGGCCTTGAAGACAAGACAAACACAACTGGGAAGGACTGCAAGGTGACATGGAAGGCAGCACACTGGCAGTCCAGGAGTGCTGAGTCCTAGATGCTTAGGTGACAGGAAAGAATCTGGTAGAGGCTCACCCAGTATCTATGCCCCCTTCATGTTACTGCTGATTTCT